GCCGCTGAAACAGAAGGCCGGGGCTGAGGCTCTGAGGGCCCGGCCTGTCTGGAGAGGCTCGCTCAGAGGAGTTGTGTGGAGGCCGCCTCCTCCAGATGGCGGCTGTGTGATTTAACAGGAACGGGAAGCAGCTGCGGCCAGCGCCGAGTCCCCCATGCTTGACGGGGACCCTGCAGGGGGAGGGAGGGGATTTGCATGAGAGGGATATTCTGGCCAACCAAAGCTGTCCCTGCCAGAATATCCCAAATCTCACTTCCCCTTTCGATCACGCAGACTGAAATAGTCTTCCAAGAAACAATCTCAAGCAATTCCAATTGCGGGCCGTCAAAGGTTCAAATAGAGACACGTTTGATTGTTTAGAGGTCTGCATCTATGAATAAAATATTCATAGGAAGATTTTTGTCTTAAACTTTGTTCAGTTCTTCTTTTGATTTCAATGATTTAAAGTCAAAGTGGATATCTTAAATATCATGAGAAGGATTTAGGATCAGCCACACACTGCAGGAGATATCTCTCTATGTTCACACTGCCTCAACAAGATAAAAGCCTAAATAAAGAATCTGTTATTTGTAGTTCTGTCAAAAGTTTCAGCTGCAATCATGCTGTCATACGGCTGAGCTGCTTCACATCTGTGTCAGAGGCCCAACACAACGTTTGACCAAGTTTCTAACTGTACAGCCAAAAGTGTAATAAAAAATTGGTTAACACTGTTGAATAAAAAAAAGGAAATATGCCCACATCGATAGATTTTTCTTTTGGCGGATAACATCAGAAATTGTGACATCAAATAAGTCCTATAAGACTAAACGATCACCTATGGCTTTTTCAGACTGAACCCTGATTGTCTGACCTCAGTGTCATCTGGCAGTTTTTGGAAAATAAAGCAAGAATTGTGATTTTGGTGATTTTGATTGTAGTGAAGACGAGCGTGACAATTTGTTGATTTTGATGATTCAACAGCCATATGTCCAAATGTTTTCTCTTGAATGGGCTTTTGTTTTTTTTTACCAAAAAGTGCTGATTAGTTTAGATAGACAAAATTAATTTATTTGTTTATACCATAACAATGTACACAAATGCCTGTATTTTTAATTTAATTTATTGTTTTAGCATGATGTTCTATTTCGAACGTTGTCCATTTGTTCCCGCGTATATTCTTTGTTTTTTCACACCTTCCGACTTGATCATACAAACGGGGTCAAGCCGTGTGGGCGATGGGAAAATAAGCATTTGACTAAGGTCAAATAGCCTGACTACTGTTGACTGAGGGACTGGTAGTGTGGCTTGACTGAGCCACAATATGACATCATACAGCCTACTGAGAATTATAAAGCCCTGCTTTGTTTCTGGAAGCCACTGTGACGAAGCGTTGTTGGTGTCTTGGCCTAAGGTGACTGGTGTCTCACCGGCGTATGACATGACAGCGATACTCTGAGAGGAACTTACAAATCAGACGAAAGCCAAACTGTTCCCAAACCTTGTGCTGACTTCGGCTTTCTTTCTGGGTGAACGCATACATATTTATATAAGTGCCAACTTATAGAAACGGTAACTTATATAAATGGTAACTTTGCCATGGTTATTAATTCAGGATTTGGTTAGAGCTGAGCAGCAGCCTGTGGATTTCATATGTTAAAAAATAACTGGATGATTAAAAAAATTAATGAACGTAAATTAACATAATGGCAGTAGCTGTATGGGGAATTTGGTTTTGTTAATGCACTCTTAGACCTTAATGCTCTAAAAAAACAAAAAAAACAAAGGATGAGGTTTGGAGTGTGTACAGAGCACCTGGAGCCCTTTTGGTCCGTTCATCCTGCTCTTTCCCTACACCCCTTCTAACAGTTCATTGGGGGAAGTGGGCTGGCACTGATCCCACCTGCCACTGGGGACACCTTACTCGCTGTCATGGTGCAAAGAGCCGCTAACAACCGCACGGAGTCACCAGCCAGCCAAAACCAACCTCAGTTTGGTTTACTCCACCTGGAGTAGTACCAGGTACCATGAAGTACCTGGAGAGTGACAGGCCTCAGTCAAACCACTACCTGTTTATGATGTATTTATTTTCATATAGAAAATTTATGATAAATAGATAGAAATAAATATATATTAAACACAAAATATTTACACAAAGATGTATAAGTCTACTTTTTTCCCAAAAGACCATTGCCAGTTAATACCTCATTAAATAATTTTTAAACTGCTAACCTCTTTTTTTTTATTATCAAAACTCCAACCCGAAGATATTTCCTTCTGAATTTCATGAACACATATGTAAATGAAACTTCTCATTCACCAGATCCAGCGGGTAACTTTTAAATTTGAGACAAAGTCTCCTAAGATGTGACCGTTGCCACGGCGAGCTGCAGAGAGCGGCACCATATGGCACACTTTTCAGCCCGCACTCAGCGGACTCTACGGATCCCGTCAGCACCAGAGGAATTCTGCACATCTGTCCCAGTCCAGCTGCGAGGAGTCCCCGTGTTCACAGAGAGCCGCGGGGGGGGGGGGGGCGGGCATGTGTGTGTGTACTCGCACTGCTGGCTAATTCAACAAAGTTTCAATACAGTGGCCAAGCGCTCAAGTCTGAAATATTTATCAGGGACTTGACAAAAAGATGAAAAATGAATGAAAGGCCCTTTTTCTCATGGTCTTCCAGATTTTCAAAGATTTCCTCATTAAATTTACATGAGACTTTCATTTCATGTGTGCACAATCTATAATGGTCTGCGTGTATGAGTGAGGCAGTGAGGCGTTCCGACTTGAAAAACATTATGTTAAAAACCTCTGTGGACCAAAGCTAAAACTTAACTACACTTGAGAAAAAGAAAAAAAAAATCTGAACTAATTGTGACCATTTTCTGGTAAGGATCTGTTTGTAGAATAATGGCAGGCATGTCTAATAAAAGGGACGTGTTGAAGTAACAGCTTTTGCTGTTGAGTCCACTGATGTCTTAATCACCAACAGGAAGGGAGGCGAAGCTAAAAGAAGTCATTTTTTTCAAACTTCAGACCCAGGATATTCTCAGTGTTGCCCAACTTCCGCGGATATGATTAGCACATCCCGCTTAAGGAACATTTTAGGACGATGTGGCTTCGGGCAAACCGATGAGAAGTGGATCAGACAAAAAAATAAGGCTGAAAAAAAAAAGTCCAGTCGGTTTGTTTCAGTTCTGACACATTGACTTAAACAGATATGAGTGGGAAATCTCACATTTATTTGATATAACATTTATTATAATTGAAAAAAAAGAGCAAACTGTGGTGATAGACAAGGCCACGTAACTAACTAACTGGGTAAATATCAATAGTCACCAATCTATGAACCATAGGGCCGAAGTAATGTGACACACACGTGTTGATCCCCGCTGAGGAGCAGATTTTAACGTCCGCATCCGAAGGTCTGATTCCACTGCTCGTACAGCTCCAGGTCTCTGGCCGACACGCTGGGCCGAACGGTCCTCAGGGCCTCCTGGAAGTCGCAGTAGGCGATGGGCCGCACCTGGTCGGCGGTGATGGAGGCGATGTCGGCCAGGTGGATGCTGCGTATGGGCCCCAGGGCCGCCTCCCGGCACAGCTGCGTCATGTCGGCTCCGGAGAAGCCCTCTGAGGCCGTCACCACGCTGTCCAGCTCGGGCTCCTTCAGCTGGTTCTTCTCTCGAGCCATGAGGTTGGTCACGATCTGCCGGCGGGCGGCCGCCTCGGGCAGGGGGATGTACAGCCGCTTGGCCAGCCGGCGGCGGGCGGCCTCGTCGATCTCCTGCGGCCGGTTGGTGGCCCCCACCACCAGGATGCGGTCCTCTGCTGCCGTGGCTGCCCCGTCCAGCTGGACCAAGAACTCCGTCTTGATCCGGCGGGAGGAGTCGTGCTCGCCGTCCGTCCTCTGGGACAACAGCGAGTCGATCTCGTCGATGAAGATGACGGCGGGCTGGTGGCAGCGGGCGATGGCGAACAGGGCCCGGACCATTTTTTCTCCTTCGCCCACCCACTTGGACGTGAGCGAGGAGGCGCTGATGCTGAAGAAAGTGGCGCCGGATTGGCAGGCGATGCATTTTCCTATCAGCGTTTTCCCCGTCCCCGGGGGTCCGAACAGCAGGATCCCTTTAGGCGGCCCACGGAGACCGGTAAAGATGTCGGGCCGGAGCATGGGCCAAACCACAATCTCCTTTATGGTGGTCTTGGCAAACTCCAGGCCTGCGATGTCATCCCAGGCCACAGGGGGCCCGTGGTCCATGATCTCACTCATGATCAGCTCCACTATCTTCGGCTCGAAGTTCTTCAGCCGCTCATCCAGGATTTGGCCTTCCTGATCGGAATGTCGGCTTGCCGCGCAGTCTTCGTCCTCCTGTCGGGGGAGGGGCGACACGAATTTTGAAAAGGCCCCCCGGGACCTGTTCGCCCCGAGGGATTTCTTGATGGTCGCGGGCATGCCAGAGGTCTGGCCCCTCTGGGCCTGGTGGGAGTGCTTCCTCTGCTGGTCAACGATGAACTGGTCGCGGGCCGTTTTGAAGTTGCCCACGGCTCGCAGGTCGTTGCCTCCTTGAGCCCCGGGTTGCGCCCTGCCACCATTCACTCCATCTGTACCGTAAAAAATTGTAGGTTTAGCTGAGTTGGAGCTTGGGAAGAAAGAGGAGTGAGGTTTGTTTGAGCCTGCCGTAGGACGGGGGTTCCCCTGTGGAAAAGCCGAGGAGGGATAACTAAAGGCAGGCTGTGATCGGGCTGAGGGTTGGGGGAAAGGATTTGGATTTCCTGAGATAACGTCTGGAAATGTTGGCGTCTCCGCTGAAAAATGAGTAAGATTACCGGCTGTGTTATTAACCTCTGAGCTAGACTGTGGTGTTCTCGTTGCTTTTAACCAGGCAGCCTCTGACCTGGCTGCACTAAAGGGAGCGGGGGGGTTGCTTGCTCTGCTTTCCACTCCCACTGGTATGTTAACATCAGCAGGGTCCACCGTAAAGCTTTCCCCCTCTGATTTAGCCTGAATCATCGTCTGCACAGAAGGAAACTGCATCACACTCTCTATGCTGAGGGAGGACTCCCATTTGTCACTGTAGTTCTTCTGATTCCGGGCCAGATGGAGCACACTCTCTGCATAGTTGTTCAGCCCTGTTTGGGGGTCATCCGAGTCCAGCAGTGCAGCATAGCGCTCTGAGTAGGTCCTGAACAGGCTGGCCATGCCGGCCTGAGAGAGCTGGGAGCTTGCCCATGCATACTGAATGGAGAGGATGTGGGCCCGGTAGGCATCGGCCGTCTGTTCAGGTGTACAGCTGCCAGATGAAATGTCAAAGGACCTCCTCTGCCATTCGCCCAGGTGTGCGTCGCTCATGCCTGGTCTGCTCTGACCTGGTCTGCTCTGGCCTGATGAAGGAGAGGGGACAAATGTTATGAAAAATACATGACTTCAGTAAAATGCCAAGGCTCACAGCACATCTGACCCAAACACATACAAAACAATACATCTGCTCATATTACATTACACTCTGTTGTATGTACAGAACACACGATGTAGGGGGGTTAGGGTCACACAAGGGAATTGAGAAATATGGTCCAAGTCCATTTCATGACAGACGTTTCACATCCATCTACAGATGTTTTCTTACTAATCCCAAAACTCAGATTTAACTTCAGTTCTGCCATAAATCTTTGTCTCCTTAAAGCAAATGTTATTATTATTTTGTTTCCCTTTGTGGTAGATTTTCACTGTTTGGGTGTATTGTGGCCATCTATGACACATATGTGTGTCACAACAAAGGATTCCAAGGATCTCCAGGCCTGCCACAGTGGGCCCCTTCAGAAATTCATTTACGGATTTCAGACACAGTAAATACATTTACATTGAAAGCTCAGTTAAAACGTTTTAATTAGTATCAACGGGTTCAAAATATATTGCTTTGTCACTTTTTTGTGTCCACTGGCTACATACAGGATTGTCCATATGAAGCAGACAATCCTCATCCCTGTGTCTAATGAGCTCTGAACAACATCTCTGACTTGACTAAAAGCACACACAGTGGCTTTAGAAGGTTAATAAACATACATCAGAAGGAAATGCAGGAAAAGTTGGGATACCTAATGTAATTCTGTATACTAAAAGTTAAAGATGTCAAGTCTCTAAATTACGGTGTACGACTTAGCATCGTTCACTGAAATTCACAACATACCCTGCACGCAGTAAAAACCTGCAGTGTTTACCGTAACTCCCCTGAACGCAACAGAAAGCCGTAACATTGAGGGACGCCACTTACTCAGTGTTATCTTCGTTTGGTATTACGACAAAACGAAGAGAGGCTACAAATCCGTAAAATTGAAAAATGTTGACATGAATTAGTATGCGTTATTGTACATTACACGTCATTTATATTTATGTTTATTCCCGCCACTCACGTCTTCCTCAGCACCACTTCCTGTCCCATTCCAATTCGGTGCCGGGAAACTTAGTGTCAGAGAATTAGTGCTTTCAGCGTAATCAAATTAAATTTGGATGGGCATTTACAAAAGAGGAATCCGCGCTTATTAAACTGCACAAATAAACATAACATTTTATTAGTTTAAATAAATTGTTAGCGTAGAATCCGGGTAAATAACTTATTGAAACGGAACCCAAAACTTTTTGTATGAGGAAATTTTACCTTCAACATTTGCCATTGTGTTCCGGTACGGTTCGGCTCACCGTGAGCTGCTCTGTGTTGATATATCATATGATCGTGTTCCAAGCCCTACAGAGATACTCAGATTTATTTAAGCATTATATTGCTTTCAAGCTGAGAAAGGCTTCTAAATTGTACTTTAGGTAACACCGTCACCTTGTGGCCACCATGAGAAAGTTACGGCAACTGTTTTAAAGTGTCGGGAAAGCGTGATGCATTATGGGAAAAGTAGTACTCGACCTTCCCACATTTGGTCAGGTTCGAAGTTTTACATAACATATACATAAGTCAGACTTGTATATTACCTATATTGAATATTAATGGTGTAAACCTTGTTTGAGAATTTATAAGGCACTGTTAATCTTCTATCACCATTATCCGTGATATCAACGAAGCCATAAACTACAATACCCACAACAGTGGCGCACTATGTTTACGCTGCCGATAGCAGATGACAGTGGCTGCTGCTGAGCTTCGGAGAATAAAGCGCACGCCGCGGCTCGGAGAATACCGTGTGTTTCCAATATACTTTTAACATACTGCCTAGATAGGCGCTCTTCTCCTCGCTAAATTGACCTTTTTGCTTTTGGAGAGGACGCCTACCGGAAGCTTCTCCCAGGCCGCTGCTTAGAGGAGTCGCAGACCGTTAGCCGCTAGCTCATCCGGAGACGGGATGTGTATTAATCCAAACGGGAGTAGCCGCACGAGCCGGTAGCAGCAGTCAGTCACACCCTTGTCTGGAGACAGTGAGGGGGCTCTGTGCGCGGAGCAATTTGCAACAACTCTTTAAGGCAATTCGATGTTTTTTTTACGCCTAACTTAGCCCCAGGCTGCTGAATTGTAGACTATTGAGACCAGTTTGACTTAACTGGGAAGTGTGGACTTGAATATGACTGACTCATCGTCATGGAACGGACAGAGAAGATAACCCTCATCAGCCTGTCTGCTGCAGTGCCAACCAGACAGTCGCGCAACTAGGTGGACAGTGAAACTATTTTGTACACTAATTCGTCTTTGTTTTGGACGTTTTTTCTTATTTTCTCGGTATCAACGCGGCGTTATGAATGCCCCAATGTACACTTTTGTTTCCCGTGACGACAACAGCACGGTCTATGCAGAAGTCTCCAAAATCCTCCTTTCAACTGGACAGTGGAAGAGGCTGAAAAGAGACAACCCGAGGTTCAACCTGATGCTCGGTGAACGGAACAGGTTACCCTTTGGACGTTTAGGTAAAACAATGCTTTTGTTTTAATTTAATAAAAAGGCGTGCTCTGTATGATGGTCAGCCACTCCGGATGAGACAGCAGCTGTGACTTTGCAGGACTGCATATTGTGGGAAATCTGCAACTCCCAGAGCTGTACAGTCCTGTCTCACCACACACACACAAACACACACAACACACACACACTTCTGTATCTGATAGACTCCTCGATTTGACTTTTCAGGCCACGAACCAGGACTGGTTCAGCTGGTGAATTACTACAGAGGGGCAGACAGGCTTTGCAGAAAGGCGTCACTGGTCAAGTGTGTATTTGTCCTCTTCACTGTAACATTTGTGTTGTCGCCTCCCTTTTTACTGATGCACTTATCTAAAAGGAGATATTCAATGAAATAATCTGAACCTTCCCCTTGTTTTTTCCCCGTCAGGTTAATAAAGACTAGCCCGGAGCTGTCTGATTCCTGCAACTGGTTTCCAGAATCCTACATAATCTATCCAACTAACCTCAACACCCCAGTTGCTCCAGCTACGAACGGGATCAGCCATCTGAAGAGCAATCCCAAAACAGATGAGCGGGAGGTCTTCTTGGCTTCATATCACACTAAAAAAGAAAGTGGGGAGGGAACAGTGTGGATAGCCAAATCTTCTGCTGGAGCTAAAGGTAAATATTTTACACTAGGCATTTAGTAGACTAGGGCATTTACTAAATGCCCTAGTCTACTTCGTCACTAATTTTCTGCCTCTTTCATTTCTGTTCAGTAAGAGTATTAATCTCAGAGGGAATCCCATTTCATATGTCTAGGATTACACCTGATTATCTGTACACAAAATCCCTCCTCTTTCACTGTTACCTCTTTCTACCCATACAAATTGTGCATAAAGGGGTCCCTGTAGCCGCATCTTAATGGAAATATGTGATATTGCCTTCCTAATGTCCCTGTCGTGTCCTCATCTGGGCTAAAAAAAACCCAAATGCATTCTATCATCCATTCACCTCTAAAGTTCCTCCTCCTCTGTCTCCATTTAGTTTCTTCTCTGTGTCCCAGACATCTCCTCCTCTTACCCATCTCAGTATGGGTCTCATTGGGGGCATCACTTTACAAAGCTCAGTTAGCTGCTTGAAAAGGGTTAACAACTGGCACAGTAATCCATCGTAACAGGTGTGGGAGACTGGCAGTTTTAGCAGTGGGAGTCTTTCCCGCAGCGGAGAGAAACGCTCCAAGAAACCCATAGAAAACATCCTTTTCACATGAAAAAATCTCAAATGGAGATGTGCCCAGAGCTACAAGAGCAGGTCTCCTTTGGAAAAGCTTGATTCTGCTGTACTACTAGCATTGATTAGTAGCCCGGTCTTAGCCACTCTTTGAGTATTAAACTAAGAATGACGCTGTGTGTTTTCATTGCGACAGGTGCTGGTATTCTGATATCCCACGATGCTAACCAGCTGCTGCAGTACATTGACAATCAGGGTCAGGTGCATGTCATCCAAAAGTACCTGGAGAGACCTCTGCTGCTGGAGCCGGGCCACCGGAAGTTCGACATCAGGCAGGTTTCTCATGCATGACCCCAGTCCACCGAGTGTCCACCGGGGGTTCTCCGGTAACTTTCTCTTCATGTCTCGCCATTGCCAGGAGCTGGGTCTTGGTGGACCAGCAGTACAACATCTACTTGTACCGAGAGGGAGTTCTGCGGACCTCGTCGGAGCCCTACAACAGCGGCGACCTCCAGGACATGACCAGCCACCTGACCAACCACTGCATCCAGAAGGAGCACTCGCAGAACTACGGGCGCTACGAGGAGGGCAACGAGATGTTCTTCGACGAGTTCAGGCTTTACATGCTGAACACTCACAACGTCACCCTGGAGACCACCATATTACCTCAAATCAAGCACATCATAAAGTGGGTACATTTCGGTTTTGTGCGAAAGGGGCTTGCCTGCTTGTTTCAATTTAAGGTCACTGGAGATTCTCTAACCGGTCCCAGCCGCTGGATAATCCCCAGAACAGGCCACCAGTCTGCAGCAGAGCTCCTTAAAGACTATTTCAGTTCAAAATCAAACTAATCCATGGTGACTTGGATGTTAGCTGGCTTGTTTGTCGTTTACTTGTGCCTGAGGACAATAAGACTCTCTTTTTTACTCTGTTGTCTATGAATATGTCCTCAATGATTTTACAACTGTTTTACATACATGTATTTATATATTTATAGATATATATTTGTTTTAGATAAAAGTGAAGTTTACCCAACATGTCTTCTGTCTTGTCACATCTCTGTCAAGAGATGGCTGGTGACATTTCTGTACCGCAGCTCCTGTTGAGAATGATATAAATAGTTTGCTTTAACCTTTAGATAATAATTTTTTTCTTCTTTTTATTTTCTTTCCTTTACAGAAGCTGTCTTTCGTGCATTGAGTCTACAATCAGCACCAAGCACCTCTCCTACCAGAGCTTTCAGCTGTTTGGATTTGATTTCATGGTGGACGAAAGCTTCAAAGTGTGGCTGATTGAGATCAATGGAGCGCCGGCCTGTGCACAGTCAGTATCACTTATGGGGAAACGTCCCCCCATCAGCTCTATTTAAGCTTGCACGCTTTTAATAACCCGTTCTAGCGTTTTAAAGGCTTACAGATGGTCACTTTAGATCCGTCTCACAAGCCTGAGGAAAGAAAATCTGACCATGTCCTTGTCCTCTTTCCCTCAACCCAGAAAACTGTACCCGGAGCTGTGTCAGGGCATCGTGGACGTGGCCGTATCCAGCGTCTTCACTCTGAGCAGCGGCAGTGAGTCCTCCTCTGCCTCCTCCTCCCCTTACTCCTCTTCCCCATCCTCGCTGTTCACCACCAACTCCTGCTCCTCTCCCAAACTGCGGGGGCCTCTTCACGTGGGTCCTTTCACTCGACTGTGAGCCCAGGCTCCCAAACTCCACCCGGCTGAGACGGTCTTCTCGCCTGATCTTTCTCACCCGGAGGGGCAACTTTCTCTTCAAGAAAAAATCCCCAAATCTCTCCGATCATGCGTATTGTGAACCTGTTCAACTGTCCACTGAAGTTTGAGGGAATTTCTGATCAAGAACAGTTCTGTTGCATCCCCTCCCTTCCCCCCTTAACATGTTAACGGAGGTGTAGAACAAGCCGAGGAACTCCAACTAAGACAGTAGTGCCTTACATTTCCAACCATGCTCTCGTAAGCTCTCTGCCAGATAGCTTCTCGTGTTATTCATTTACCCGTCTTCTAAGAGCTCTTGCACTGTCGCTCAGCTAAATGAACACCACCGAGGTCAGTGGAGAATGACGACTGACATTTCAGTTCTCAACTTGAACTTGTAGAACTGAGTGCTATTTTCTCATCAGACACTTTTTTATTTTCTATTTATTAAAACACTTTTTGTAGCCCACCTGCAGCTACCAGAATGAGTTTGAAATTAGTTTAAAAAACAAAACTATAGACTGACATGCTGATACCAAGAGCCTGATGTGACGAGACTCTCAAATTGTCAGTAACATTCCTCTTAACTTGACCATGCGGACATATTATTTACATTCAGCTGGTTTGCAATAGTGAGCGAAGAAGCTGATCAAGAAAACCCAGATTTAAGTCCAGGCTTCCAGTGTCCCCGACTTCTCAAGAGAGAGAAACAAGGCAGGCGGGATGGGGGTCATTTTTAGGTGCATCAGCCTTTGATACAGTGTTATGTACCAAGTTATCATGACTGTAGTTTTGTTTTAACATTTATTTATCAGTTTTTCTTGACGTTGTAAAGCCCTCACAGCTTGTTCTGCTGTGGAGAACTGCCCTGTAGCTCTGCCTTTTATTTCCGATGTACTGTCGTAGTGACATGTAGTGACAAATTATGTTTTTGAAGTGTTGAAACGAAAGTAGAATAGATTGCGCGGAATGTCTTATAGGTTATTTAAAGTATTTTAGAACCCCGTGGAAACAACTGGCCTGACACAACAAACTTTTGTCAGCAAGGCCGGGAATATGCTTCCTGTTATGCTCATGTTTGCACGGCTATGTTGGTTACCTCCTTTATCCTGTGGTCGTTAGGGTTAGAATGAGTTTAACACTACAACATAACTAAGACGATGTGGAGGTGACGGGTACCTGGAATAACATCTAACATACAGGAGCTGGAGCTTTTTTTTTTCTTTTGCCAGATTTGATCCCAGTATTATCTACATATTAACTTTTTTTAATTTGCCGCCATGTTCTTTGTTTACATCTGACAAAAACGACAAAAAAAATCGGTTAAAGGCCCACTTAAAGTTAAAGACCCAGTTCTCAGGAAAGTGTCTGAGCAATTTCATGCACGACAAAAATGTTTTCCCTTGGGGGCTCAATGATTTAAAAAGAAAGAAAGAAGAAAAGTGACAATTTCGGCTTAAAAAAAAAAAAACAAGAGCTGGAAACCAAAAAGTGCAACTGCCTTTGATACTTGTTACACTGGTGTAGTTGGGGATGAATTCGTCGTCACCCTTTCATGTTGTGTTTTTCTTTGTTTCGTCGGGCCCTTCAATATTGCCCCTTTTTATTTCTGTCATATCAGCTGAATGTCTTTGGGAGGGAAACCAGACCTCAGCGTTGTAGCACCCTAGGCTAATTGTGTCGAATTTCTCTTTGTGTGTTTGACTGTGCTGTTGTTTTATTTTGACTTTTCAGCTAGTTTTATATTTCTTCTGACTGCTGCCCGCTGTTAAGAGACACTGTTGCTCTGCTTATCTGCCAGGAACGCCCAGGTGTTACCCCCTCTTGAAACTTGTGTGTGTGTGTGTGGGGGGGGTGTGTGAGGGGGGGGGGTGGGGGTCAGGGGGCTATGCTTGCCTTTTGTGATGAACAAAGAGAGACTTTTATGTTTTCTGATCACTGTGTATCTGTGTTTACAAGATGTGTGTGTGTAGGGGGGGGAGGGGGTGGAATGAGGGACTTGTCGGTGAGCGATGAAGGAGCTCTGCTGCATGTGGAATGATGGAAACATGTGCAACTATATAATCACAGAAGTCGTCCATGATTGAAAGTCATTTCCATCAAAGGGAAGGGTGCCTTAGAGGGAGTTACCGTTGAGGAGCAGAAGAGGCAAAGCACCTTCAATTCTTTGTACTGAGAAAGGTCTTTTACTCGTCATAAAGGCTCTGTTCCAATTGTTTGCACGTTTTCTGATCCTTTCCTATGTTTCTCTTTTCGCATCATTACCAAAGATACCCTTCTGTCCTGCTGTATTTTCATCGACAAATAGTGTTTTTTTTACTTCCCAGTTGGTATCAGGACGTGATCATGCGGACTAGCCAGCGCAACTTAAAAAAACAGTCATAATCAGGTGTGCTGTGTTTTTGTTAGGTAAAATTGTGTTCCAGCTCTTGCATGAACATTTATCATCATGAGACAGAAAACTTCAATAAAATGAATTATGGTAATAAAGCTTGTGTCAATCATACTTGTCTTGCACTCATACATTTTTTACAAAGAAGTTATACTCTACCTTTAATAGAATTTGTTTATTTTTTTCCCTTCAGAGCTACATTGTCTCCAACTTTTCAATGATGGAATTTACCACCAGGTGGCACCAAAGGGGCAGTCTGCCGTAAATCCTCAGGAACGAAGAACACTTCCTTCCGCCGTCACACGCACCCATGTGTTTGCCCCATGTGAAAAACAAGCCCGTGTGCCCGTGAGAGCAGTAGTATGGACTTTTCAGACAAGTGGAGTAATTTGCCCACCGCTCCCAGTCTAAAGAACTTGACGGACGGAGGGTTTGGCTTACTAAAAGAAACACAACATGTCCCCGTTCAGGATCTAACCAAAGCTCACATTGAGTCGTTTGACCATAATGTGTCTCAGGGACTTAGCCGCGTCGTGCAGGTCGGTACACCTCTTATAAGCTAAGTTATCAAAGTGTAAGGCACATTATGGCCTCTTTACGGCCAGTAAATGAATTCTGTGACGATTCAGTATAAAGTTAACGCCATTTGTTTTTTGAAAAATCCCCTTATCGCGGAGTGATACCTAATTAAACTGTGCTTCCCAACGCTAGCCCCTCTTCCCGTTTCTTAGCTTTTCTTCTGGAATGACTGTTTTATGATATGGTGTGTGCTTCTCAGGCCATCCCACCTTTGGAGTTTATGGCCAAAAACGAGCGGGTCAGCCTGTCCTTTGTGGAGGCCACCATCTACAACCCGGTGGTCGCCAAAGGGAGCATCTGTAGAGAGATGAAGGTGTTCCCAGCCGAGTGCCGGGGAAGGAGGTGTTCTTACAAAGGAAAGCTGGTGGTAAGGCTGTTTTCATGTTTTTTTTGTCTTTCTCTTTTTTTATTTCCTCCACAGTTTCAGTTTTGAGCTCAGCTCAGACCATCTCCTCCACAGTGAGGTCTTACTCTGATGGGTGTCCTGTCATTACAGGCGGACATCAGCTGGTCCATCAACGGAGTCCCTAAAGGCATCATCAAGCAGTCTCTGGGTCAGGTGCCGATCATGGTGAAGTCAAAGCTGTGTAACCTGCACGGCTTGTCTCCTAAAGAGCTGGTTCAGCATCATGAAGAAGCAGAGGTTGGCTTTGATGCTTCCTGCTGACCTGTTTAGAATGTGCTTACCTTTAAACCAGCAGAGTTGAAGCTCCTTTTAACCTCTACAGGAAATGGGAGGTTATTTCGTCGTGAACGGAATCGAGAAAGTGATCCGCATGCTGATAATGCCACGGAGAAACTACCCAATTGCCATGACGAGACCCAAGTGGAAGAGCAGGGGTCAGGGATACACTGAGTATGGTAAATACAACCTTTAAGATGCACAGAAGCGCCACATCAGGCTAAAAAAGTGGCCAAGTTCTCCCAATATGAATGTGTTGGATGTTTTGCTCTCACCAGGTATATCCATGCGTTGCGTGAGAGAGGAGCACACAGCGATCAATATGAATCTCCATTACCTGGATAACGGGACTGTGATGTTGAACTTTATCTATCAGAAAGAGCTTTTCTTCCTCCCTATAGGCTTCGTTCTGAAGGTACTTTGCAAAGTTATCGTTAAAACAACCATTTGTTTAAAAAAAGATTAAAAGCAGTAAAAAGTAAGTAGTTAATTTAATTCTCCTGCCATTCCCTTCAGGCCCTGGTGGACTTCACTGACGTCCAGATTCACAGGGAGCTGATCAAAGGGCTTGAGGACAACTCCTTCTATAAGACCTGTGCGTCAGAGATGCTGCGCATCGTCATGGAGGAGGACTGCACCACCCGCAGCCAGGTGCTGAACTTCCTGGGAGAGCGCTTCAGGGTTAAGCTGAACCTGCCAGAGTGGTACACCAACGAGCAGTGCGCCATCTTCCTGCTAAAGTGAGCCTTCCGGGAAAGATTTAGTTTGCCCTTTTATATATATGACGCATTCAAGCATTGCGGGGAGTTGCACTCTCATGAACATGAATTTCGTGGCAAAAACATGTGTTCCGAAATGACTGAACTATTTTCTAGGGCTGTTATTTTTTTTGTTATCTTCTAAGCAATTTCTTGCTTTAACAGTATTTGTTGCTTTGGGTTTGTTGTCCTATACATTCACTCCTTTCTGTTTTGGGATCCTAATGTCCCAAGAACAAAATGCACTTGCTGCTGCTGAGCTGTTGCATTCAGCCTTGATTTCATTCAAAGTAAACATTGTTTCCTGGAACATTTTGCTGCTATATATTGATCTGTCTAGTTATAGTACCATGCCACAACATTCAATTCCACAGGAAGTGGTAGGAAACCTGAGGGTGCTGTGATTCGGTAAACTGACCCTGTCTTTGATCTGAGCAGTGAGTGCATCTGCATCCACCTGAAGTCGGACACGGAGAAATTCTACCTGCTGTGTCTGATGACCAGGAAGCTTTTCACGTATGCCAAACAGGAGTGCATGGAAGAGAACCCGGACAGCATTGTGTGTCATGAAGTTCTGACCCCTGGTCAGCTCTACCTCATGTTCCTGAAAGTGGGTCTAAGTTTGGAATCAGAATCTATGCTTGCATCAGTTTATTTTGTCTCAAATTACACTTTAGCGTTCGTAATTTCTTCCCTTTAAATCTGAGCAAGAGTTGTGTTCTCAACGCTGAAATGATTTCACAGGAGAGACTGACTGCATGGCTTTTGTCGGTGAAGCTGTCCTTTGAGAAAAGGGGAATCAAGCTGTCTGCAGGATGGACCACAGAAAACATGACTAAGATGTTAGACATGGGATCAGACCTGACCAAATCTTTTGAATATTTGCTGGCCACCGGGAATCTCAGCTCCAAGACGGGTACGTCCCCCAGAGCCCAGATAGGCGTGCGCGTGAAGGTTCAGAATTTGGCTTGAGTGGTTTTTATTGTTCCTGCAGGCCTCGGCATGCTGCAGAACACCGGCCTCTGCGTTGTGGCCGACAAGCTCAACTTCATCCGTTACCTGTCCCACTTCCGCTGCATCCACCGAGGGGCGGCGTTCGCCAAGATGAGGACCACCTCCGTTCGGAAGCTGCTGCCCGAGTCCTGGGGTTTCTTGTGCCCCGTCCACACCCCGGACGGAGAGCCCTGTGGACTCATGAACCACATGACGGCCAGCTGTGAAATCGTGGCGGCGACCACACCCACAGCATCCCTGCCCGCCCTGCTCTGCTCCCTCGGTGAGTGCCAAAGTCCCACCTTTTAGTTCCCCCGCCGCGGGGTTTAGAAGCTCGCCTGAGCCCTCTCCTGTCTGCGCTGCGTCAGGCGTGACTCCGGTGGATGGATCTCCCGGTCGGGCCTTCTCAGACTGCTATCCTGTGATTGTGGATGGAGCTGTTGTCGGATGGGTAGAAACCGACTTGGCCCCATCTGTTGTTGACTCACTCCGTAGGTTCAAGGTACGTTAACTGATTATACTAACTGTTACCTGACCACCGAAAGAATAATAAAAGCTGATCGATTTCAAATGTTTGCCTTCAGGTACTGAGAGAGAAGAGGATCCCTCCCTGGACAGAGATCGTCCTGGTTCCCGAAACGGGAAAGGCCAGTTTATATCCAGGCCTGTATCTCTTCACGACACCATGCCGTATGATGCGACCCGTCCAAAACTTGGCTCTTGGCAAACAAGAGTTGATTGGCACCTTTGAGCAGGTACAGTAACATGCTCTGATAGTCGGGAGACTTGTATCCCAGGCAAGAACCCAATAGGAATGGTATTATCTGTCATACGGCAGCTGTACATCAACGTGGGGATCTTGGAGGATGAGATCGAACCAGGTGTGACCACGCACCAGGAGCTCTTCCCTCACAGTATGCTCAGTGTTGTGGCCAACTTCATCCCTTACTCGGACCACAACCAGAGCCCCAGAAACATGTACCAGTGTCAGATGGGTAAGTAAGGAGCTGCTGTGCAGACTGATATCAAAATACCGAGTGGTCCATTGACCTGTAACGTGTTTCAGGTAAGCAGACAATGGGCTTCCCCCTGCACTCGTTCATGGACCGCTCCGATAACAAACTGTACCGACTGCAGACTCCACAAAGCCCCCTCGTCAGGCCCTACATGTACGACCACTACAACCTGGACAACTACCCCAGCGGCACCAACGCCATCGTGGCCGTCATCTCCTACACGGGTTACGACATGGAGGACGCCATGGTGAAGGCAACACAAAGGTGGTTTGGTGTTTTTTTCCGTAGGAGAATGAAATGTTAACCCTCGTTGATCTCATCAGATTGTGAACAAGTCGTCGTGGGAGAGAGGCTTCGCCCACGGGAGCATCTACAAGAGCGAACTAGTGGACCTGGCAGAAAAAGTGAGGGGAGAGGACGCAGTGGTGTTTGGGACAAAGGCGGGTGACCCGAAAGTAAACGACAGACTGGACGCTGATGGACTGCCTCGTATCGGATCAAAGCTTCAGTACGGAGACCCCTTCTATAGCTACATCAACCTGAACACAGGCCAGTCCTTCATCACCTACTACAGGTAAGGAACCTTAAACGATGCATTCATTGTATTGCCTTACATTTAGGACTGGATTGTCACAACAGTCAACATGTTTTTCTACCATCTACTTTATGTCTATAGGAGCCAAGAGGCCTGCGTTGTTGACAATATAAAGATCTGTAGTAATGACACCGGCTCAAGCTGTTTTAAGCGGATCTGCATCACCATGCGAGTGCCACGAAATCCCACCATTGGAGACAAGTTTGCCAGCCGCCACGGCCAGAAGGGCATCCTGAGTCGGCTTTGGCCAGCGGAGGACATGCCGTTCACCGAGAGCGGCATGACCCCGGACATCCTGTTCAACCCGCACGGCTTCCCGTCCCGCATGACCATCGGGATGCTGATCGAGAGCATGGCCGGCAAGTCCGGCGCCCTGCACGGACTGAGCCACGACGCCACCCCCTTCACCTTCTCCGAGGAGAACTCGGCACTAGAGCACTTTGGCAAATTGCTCCGGGCGGGCGGCTACAACTATTACGGCACGGAGCGGCTGTACAGCGGCCTGAGCGGTCTGGAGCTGGAGGCCGACATCTTCATCGGCGTGGTCTACTATCAGAGACTGCGCCACATGGTCTCCGACAAATTCCAAGTGAGGACCACGGGGGCGAGGGACAGAGTGACAAACCAGCCCGTCGGAGGGAGGAACATCCAGGGAGGCATTCGCTTCGGGGAGATGGAGCGCGACGCCCTGCTGGCTCACGGCTCCTCCTTCTTGCTGCACGACCGCCTCTTCAACTGCTCGGACCGCTCGGTGGCCCAGGTGTGCGTGGACTGCGGCAGCCTCCTCTCCCCGCTGCTGGAGAAACCCCCGCCCCACTGGTCAGCCATGCGCCACCGCCAAACCGTCTGCACCCTGTGCGGCAAAAGTGACTCCATCGACTCGGTGTCTGTTCCCTATGTGTTCCGCTACTTTGTAGCCGAGCTGGCAGCCATGAACATCAAAGTTAAATTAGATATAAAGTGAAGAAAATTCCTCTGGGGGAAGTCATGAAAATGCTCTTTGGGTGTATTTCGTTCAAACAGGTTGACTCAGAAAAGAGTTTGATCTGCATAGAGACTGCATAGTGCATTTAATGGCATGGTATCAACATAACACAACATCATGAAGACGTTGGGACTGTAAAGATGCATAAAATGTAAAAAAAGAAAATCTTTAAAGAAAATGTTCAGTACATGGAAAAAAATTTCCAGATCAAACCATTGAAATAAAAAAAGTGCCCTTGTTAAGATTTGAATAGATTATTTCAGCTGGGCCAGGATGCCTGGGAGGTCCAGCACAGTGGGGATCGTGTAGGTTGGTTTCACAGAACCATCCAAAGCGGCACCGCCCTCAGGGCTGATCCAAACGGTGGCCCGCACCCGGGCATCACCCCCCCCTTTAATGTCAGTGTCCAGAGAGTCTCCCACCATAATGCAGTCCTGCGCCTCCACCTCCAGCAGGTCGAAGCACAACGTGAAGATGGACAGACACGGTTTCTGCTCCACGTGCTCCCCCCCGATCACTATTCTGTCAAAGAACTCCTCACACTGGACCGCCTCCACTTTCTCCCTCTGAGTACGAGCCTCTCCATTGGTCAGCAGCAGCAGCTTGTACGTGCGGCGCAGTTGTCTCAGGAGGTTTTTTACTTCAGGGGTCAGGCAGAGAACCTCCAGCCGGCTATTTTTCCACAGGTAGTAGCATTGACTGGCCAAGGAGGGAGCGAAGGAGCTGCCCACGGTCTCAGTGATGCTCTCCTCCCAGTGACAAACGCGAAGGCCATCCATGGATCTGCCAGATGAGGGGTCAAAGCATTCTTGTAAAAGCTTCTGCTTAAATCTGTCACAAATGCAGTGGACAGTCTTATCATCAAGGCCTAGTGTGGTCTTCAGCAGCTCACCGGTCTGTAGGATCCACACACAATAGGTCAACATTATATTAAAACATCTAATGTGAGCACAAGGAATGAGACTTAAAAAGAGGTCAGAGTTTGTAATAGTTTGACAGGAATTACAAAATGGCAGGAATGATGGAGCAGGATGACCTTAGGAGTCAGAAGTCATAAGAATATAGCTGGAGTTCCTGCAGTGCATACATAAAAATGAAAGGGTTCCTTTCTTACAATTTATGAACTATAAAGGTTTCCTCTTAGGCCATTCATGACCAGTTGTGTCTGTCTGAAAACACTAAGATTATGAAGTGTACATCAACCTTTATCACCCGTTTTATCAAAGTAATATAAGTTATGAAATAAGTTATCCAAGTTTACTTTAAATACCTAATTCAATGAAATATCCTTTTGCAGGGAAAAATCGAATGATTATTTTGAACATACGCTTATGACCTCTCCCGGCCACCGTACTAATTTCATTTAACCAATCAGAGCGAAGAAATAATTTGTCTATGGCTGCAAATGTCTCCAAATATTGAAAGAAAAGAAACCTGAACGTAGTCCCTTAAAGACTGATGTCTGGACGTTATGAGACATTACTAATCTGAACGTTCTTTTTAAAGGAACTCCTAGCATTCCGTCAACAGACTCTCATTTCTACGCAAAGCAAATATATATTAACTAAGAATATCAAATTTTCTTCACCTTTTGAATGGCCACTCCACCAGCACGACTCGTTTCAATAAGTGTGTTATCCAAGTCAAATAATATTGCTTTGACAGTTCTGTCACCCATACCGGATCAAATAATCGTCCCACTCACACAGCGAAAAAGAACATAAACCCCATAACACTTACACATCCCTACACGTCAGCGGAAGTAGTACGTCTTCGTGGGATTTGTAGTTCCAAGACGATTTCGCGCATTTACGACTTTCATCCCCGAGATGGCGCCATTACATCTACGTGCAAATTACATTTTAAGAGTAGTATTAAGAATATTAACTGTCTTTACTACAGACTTCTGTTAATGCTCTATAAATGCATTCATATATGAAATTTAGATTTTTCTGCATTATTACACTTCCACGTGCCAAATTTTCTTCCCAGTTTCCAAACAGTGAAGGAAGGTGGCACACCGCCCCCGCCCAAATAAAATACCTAATTTATTAAGCCAACAGTGTTGGCGATAAATCTGAGCAGGAAATATTTCCTTCACTTTCTAAATGAATCCTGTACGTGACTCCTAGCCCTGAGTACTGCCAATTTAAACACATATTCCGTGACACGCAGTCTTTCAAAAATAAAAACATACCACAGTTCTTATGCAACCTGTCCTTTAACTCAGTTTCTTATCTGGCACAGGGCCAGAGGTTCACACGCAACACTGTGCAGGATTGTTGGACCATCGTGCTAAAAACTAATCAGACATCACAACAAACCTCTCTCCCATTACCTGAGTATTCCGATTACAGGTGCCTGTGTCAAAGGCAACTTTGCCCTAATATTTTAATAACCGTGGACCCAGCATGCCAAAGATAAATCATGAAATGTTGTGAAAGGCTTAACCTACTTTCATCAAAACAAACACCTGTTGCTAGCATGTGAAGGATGCGCATGTTTAAATGACAGACTGCAGCAGATAGAATGTATACCCCAGACCCCCCCCCCTCCCACCACCTCCCTGTTAACTTCAAAAAGGAAGTGAAACAAACTGTAGATGTGTGAAAAGCAACCTTCTAAGTGTAAAAATGGAATTTCCCCTGCCATGACTTCTCTTACAGTTTGATGTGTAACACTTCCAAGAAAGTGCAGGCATCTGAAGGAATGATGAGGTCTTCACGAGACCGAACTGTTTGCACGACATCACGCCTTTTTTTTTTGTCAGTGTGGGAGGCCGTGGCTGTGAAGAGTCACGCCAATTCTCAAGTGAGCTCAAATCCCACTAGGCCCAATTATCAAGGGTTACACTCCTCTCGACACCTTCCAGTCTTCATGAGACGGTTAGAACCACAGCTTTATAGGCAAAAAGATTATATTTTAAATGGAGTACTTGTATGCTTTGTTTTTTTTCCCCATTTGTCCCACTCCTTTGGACTTGTTTTCTTCCTCCCATTTCCTTTTAAAACTGGACAACTTGGTGTGACCTCAAATGGAACTGGCATTTCTTGAGCTCCACTCGACTGGAGACACGTATCAAGCCTACAGGTGCCAAGATATCATGATTCCCCCACCCAGATTTACTGTATCTTTCCCGCTCGTGCCAGGCACAGAATTCCTTAGCTGCCATCCTTTAGCACGCTGAATATTTGAACGTGCTTGAGCGCTGAAAGATTTGGATAAAAAATGTCCGCGATGAAGCTGCGATAAAGAAAAAGGAAGAGAAAAAAATAATGATAGCTGCTACTCGGCTACCTTTTCTTTGTGAGGATGATCCCATCAGACGTCGCCTCTGATTAAGAGACAAAATCACGCACACAAACATACACAAATGCACACACACAAACACACACGTAGATGTGAGATTTTATCAACAGGAGGGGAATGTATGAACCAGTCTAAAATAAAGGAACGCTGGTGTGCTTAATGGCACTTGTTATGTTAGCAGGAGGAGTATGGCAACTTGCACGTACAAACAGACAAAAACACTGTGATCTTGGGCAGGATGGTGCCATCCATGATCACGGAGCGATATCCTGTCCAGAAAAGCTTATGTAAATTGTCTGTTTGGGGCCTAAGACAGTCTTTTGCCCCTAAGCTCCACTGTCGATTCATTAGTACTTTTGCCAATAGTGCCAGTCAACGGGTGACGAGAAGATAAAAGGTCACTTTCTTAATGAGTTTTTGTGCAGCAGCAGGGAGGGAGACAAGCTATAAATGCCCAATCCACAACACAGCTCACAATATAGCTCCATAATCAGCAGGATTTCAAATGTTCATTTTTTAAGCAAGAATTGATTCATCTTAAAATTATCTTTTCTTTTTGGCTGCATATTCAGAATGAATGTGTTCGTCTTAAAGAGTTCCAGTATGACCTACAGAGTAATACAGCTCTGTCAACCCTCCATCCATCTGGTGCCAAGAGAGTGAAAATGTTTGGGAATGGTGGCTTATTTGGGCGGGTAAAATAACTCTGCTTTTCCTGTGGTTCCCATCAAACATCCAGATACAGTTTTTTTGTTTTACAGAATTTTATAAAGGAAAATCCAACTTAGAGGAAGCCCCCAAAGCTCCTTCTACAAGCTTTGAACAGATTGAGAGTCATAACCACATAGGTAAACATCAGCTTATGTAACATTCAAGACCAATACATACATGTGGAAGTACAAATTCTGATAGATTAAATATCCTAAATGTTTTCATCTTGAAATCCTAAAGTAAGAGTCTGAATAAGGACTTTTGGTCAAACCTTTGCCCTGACATATATTTTGATATCTATGTTTTTTTTTGTCTCAACAAGCTTAATCAATATTGCACAGCACCTGCAATGCGACTCTAAATGTGTCAAAATATCTCCTCATCTTATATGTTTTCCTTTGGGTGGTTGAGTTAACATTTATATTTCATGCAGAAATGTTATAGCAACAGGCAATGGTACAAATTGAATAAATGAATCAAAACAACAAGAGGACAGTTAGAAAAAGACTATTCAATTGAGGTCAGATTTTTAGTTTTGTTATTTTAAGGCCCTTTAGAGACCTGGTCCAATTCAACCCTGTTATAATCCAATTAATTGTAGCACAAACATAATCCAGTCAAATCCACTTAATTCAATTATAAACTGGCCCATTTGATACACAGCCAATCAAACAAATTTCCAAGCCAGGGAAAACAACGGGATTGCTTTGAAATATCACCTCATTGAACCCTCGTTCTGAATGTGTTCAAAGTGATTGGAAATAAAACAAATTCTCTCTTTTAACAGAGCCCGACTCACAGAGGGGGCTGCCATCTGCCTCAAACAGCTCTGCATTCAGAGCATAGGAAAGAGGGACAACAAGCACCATGACACCAGGCCTAACGGCACATTTAATCAGGGAGGAAGGATGAGGGGACTTCTTCATGCAGGGGAAACTCCAAATTCTTCAGGATATAGATGGTGTGACAATCTGTACTTTCACTTGGCAACAGAGAAGGCCCTGACAACTGAGGCGTTGCTCTTTGAACCTTCAGCCCGAGAGCAAATTCAATTATCAGGTCTTTAAGAACTGCTGGAGCTTGGTCGTTGGGAGATTTTGTACGTCAGGAGCTGAAGTTTGTTGTATTCCGAACGGACTCCTCGGATCTCTCTTTTGAAAAAGACGGGGGCTTAACAATAATGAAGAAGGCGACGTTGTTTTCTGGTATAACTGACTACTCTATGCGTAGTGATCAGATAAAGAGCAAACGATGACTCCCTCTTTTGCAGTCACTCCTCTCGTGTAAACTGAGTCGGGTGTTTTCTTGTTGCCAAAGACACTGTGTATCTTGTGATCAAGTTTCAACCAATGAATGATTACAAATCCATGACCCTGCTGGCAAATCATTGCCAAACTGGCGTCATACGGGCCGACACTGCCAAGATGTCTCTCCTAAATTAAACAGGATGTAAAAAATACACTTACAAGAACACTGTGTAATCATTACTTGAAAGAAGCCATGACTCACACGATATGAAAAGTAAAAGCCTTTTATGATGCATCTGAATGGTTAATGATAATAATAAAAAAAGACTAATAATGTCCTCTGTGAGTCGGGAAGTTAAAGAAAAACAAAAAAAACGTTTGAATGAATCAATCTGAGCGTGTCTCAGTCTAACATGTTCTACATCACGTCACTGTATCCCAAAGGGGCAATTTTCTGGAAGAATGGATGAGGACGAGATAGGACAGGCCGAGACACATGGCTGGGAGAGGCGGATGGGAGGCTTTGATGCTCACATGAGGACGACTACCGCCGTTTCTTCGGGCATGTTTTTTTGCTCTGTAAAACTCATCATGATTGCACCATCTTTAAGGGTTGCACAGATCAATGTGGATGAACCTTTCTGGAACATACTTCCCAGTGGATTTTTCCTTTTTTTTTTTTTTTTAGTTCTCACACCGTGCTGGGGAGATTATCAAAAAATCAGGAGACTCACAACTTTTCTGTGTGACATAATTCTGAAAACAATAGTCACAATACAAAGTCAACTTTTGTTTTGTTACTGTCTTAGCTGTACAGGCTTTTAAGAGTAGTCGTATGCGCCTGAGTAAAAGAAAAGCAAAAAAAGCCTCTGGGCTGATACATTTTGTCAGCTCAGTAGCATCAAGTAGGGAAGCTGGAACACTTCAACGTTTGTGCATTTGTCACACATCATTGTGTGTGTCTGAACATCTTTGAATAGCCTAAATCAGGCAGAGCTATAAAATACAACAGTATATAATAAAATCCCAGTTTTCTCTTGTTTCTACTCGGACCCTATTTGAATACCTTTGAGTGATGCTGTCATACTCCCAATATGGATCATCGGGCCTGATGCTGACATGGACGGAGTGGAGAGGACAGATGGCGTAGAGCTGCTTGACACTTTTCCATTTGAAATTTTTTTTTTCCATGTCCAGGGCAAGGGGCTGATGACAGAACACGCCCAATGTCAATTACAGTGGTTTAGTGGAGGCTTCCAGATGGAACGTCTGGCATTTCTATGGAGGAGACATGACTCCGTATGGATTCTATGTGTCACTCCTGCCTGTTCCGCTTCACCAGCACACCGTCAGGCCAGTGTGAGTAAGACATGGCGATTTGACCTGTCATCCATGTTAATATCACATGAAA